TGGGGTTTCCCCACAGCGTCACGCAACTTTCTAAATTCTTCCCTTTCACGGAGAAAAGAAAGGTCAGGTCGAAAACACAGCCGCAGCTGTTGTGTGAAGCGTAATTGTAGCAGCTACCTATAATTATAATTAGTAGTAGTAGTAGTAGTAGTAGTATAAGACAAACATGCCTGATACTTTCACAGTCAGCCCCAGGCCTACATGCTTACAGCTATTAATGATTCAGCAGTAAGATTACCCCCCGGAACAAAAAAGAAAAGAGCTCCCCGAAAGCTATGGTATTGTTCACACACTGCTTAAAACTTTTAACTTTTAACAAAGATTTTTGGTTTGGAACTATAGAAAATAAAAGCACATTAAAAGCAAGTACTATAACCACAACTGTGCACTAACTATGTAATGTCTATTTAGAAAAATAAAGCAACAGCCCCCTTTCATGCTACTTCTATAGTTTATTTTTACAAAGTGCTTATAAGTTTTATAAGTGGAGAATGTTCTGTAGGCTACATCACGAGCCAGATGTTTTTTGATTTACTTTAAACCATTTCTCAGATTTTAAAGACAGAATAACAGCGGTACGAACATTGAAACTATCTTACAGTTGTGGCCTTTTCTCTGTCTCTGCTGCTCTGTTGGTGCTGCTGCAGTGGTCTATGTAACTGGGACCAGAGGGCTCTGTCGGCATGACTGGCTGGCCGGCTGCTAACCTTACGGGCGCTTGTGGAGCTTCTCAACCCGAAAACGTTTAAGAACATTTCTGATTCGCCATTAACTTTCGCAAAACTGCCAATATTCAGGTTCTACACAGTTGATTTCTCCCCTCAAAACCGCCCAAAAGTATATTTATGTGGGGTGGTGATGGCGCAATGGATAAGACACATAGAGAGACTCGGGTTCAATTCCCACTTTGACCCATCCACCACTGTGTCCCTGAGCAAGACACTTGCTTCAGAGGCATGCGACCTCTGACATGTATAGCAATTGTAAGTCGCTTTGGATAAAAGCGTCAGCTAAATGAGTAAATGTAGTGATGAAATAATAAACTGTTCAGCTGTTAGCCCCCTTCTCTGTTGCTTTCCACTTCACACGTGAAAGCTTCTTCGTGAGTAGTCTTACAGTCAAGCAGTCATAGCACAGTGGAAGTGATACTGCCCCTAGCATTCCATGTAGTGAATTACAATTAGAAATGAACACCCAGAAATGTTCCTAATAAGAAGATTGCAATCTCTCCCTTAAGCGGCGTCTTTGTAACGACACGTCGCCAAATATTTAAAATCAATGTCGTCGATTACGTTGACTAATCGTTGCAGCCCAAATATTCATCCTTTGTTCTTTAGTCCAGGCAGTGAGATAGTGATCGGGTCGAGTCAACTGGTGACGTCACCACAGCGGCACTTCAGGTGAGAGGTCACACTGTGCTTCTTACCTTGTGCTTGCTAGTTGGTGGGTCGAGATATTACTACAGTAACACGTTGTACTAAAAGTTGTGTATCAAACACAGAAATAAGTTTAAGTAATTTTATGGGCAGTTAAATGCCATTACAGAGCGTTTACTGTTGCGAGAGCTCAGAGTGGTAGTTACTAGATACAACTGCAGTGCTGTGAGTGTGTACATCGCTCTGTATTAAAGCAACCAAAGAACGCTTTCTCTTTAGTTATATGGCATACATCATATCGGATACGTTTAGTTTCTGTAGTGAGGCTACTCTGCATACAGATCCTTTCAGATGAATTAATTGCAGACTGCATGCTAGGCTGAAAAGAGGAGCATTAACTACCGGTGTGGTGTTTATATTTGCTCCCATTTGAAGTTGTATATTAGACCATATATTCCTGTCCACTACAATCATGCTGAACCATCCTCCAATTTCATCTGAGAAATCCAGATTGTTTTTAAAATACATGGTAATTTCATTAAAGTCTCACTGATTCGTTTTTTAAGTGTAGGTAAATAGCAGTCAAGCAAAGTGAAAGGCATTATGACAGAAGGTAACCTAGTAGGCCTTTAACTTTACATTCAGTCTGCAGGCTGGTGCTCGGTGTTTTACTTACAACCACACAATAGATGAAATGGTGATGCTCCATTTCCTGTATCTCTGCACCAAAAACCCACAGCCATTCTCTCCCTGACTTCCTTATCTCACACAGCACATCTCTCGGCTGTAGTCGGTAACATGGGCTAGACTTCAGAATGGTCTTGTCCAGTGGTCCAAATATGTAATGCTATAGTTATAGTGTAATAAATATTACTAATGTTAAATGGATCATTACATGTGTATGTAATCTGCACCAATTCCCAGCCCTGCTGTATAAACCCTCTGCTTGGGGAGGTGACTTTGCATGTGTTACACAAACAAACATCTGCTAGGTCTGAGGTCAGCACTAACAGACTGCAGAGAGTTTAAGAAGCCCAACACAAAGCAGCTTGTGTGACATGCTTTGAAACCTCTGTTAGCCCCACCCAGTATGTGGCATATGACATGCCACTATATTTAGCATAGCCCACATTGTTTGTGACAGTTCAGCGTTGAAACACTGTATACACTGGTTTGCTCTCGCATACAATTCTGCACATCCACAGCATTTTCTTTCAAAACTGCAATGCATGAACTTTTAATGCAGGTTAGCTCAAATAACGGGCTCCACTGGTGTGGCAGTTGTTGTGTAACCAGAAAAACAGACAGACTGTGTGCCAAGAGAAACTACACTTGTTCCAGTTCCACCGCCCATGTGAAGAGTAACTACAGACTGCTGTGACTTATAAGTAGGCATCTCATGCTTACATCACTGAATGAGGACCTGCAGTGAGAGGCAGCTGGGCTATCAGAAGATGTTGCCACTTGACACACTAAATTCTTTTCTACTTATGTTTGTGATGTCAGCGATACTTGTAAAATACAGATAGGTGCAAGAAGGCTGGCTTCTTTGGGTTTATATATAAAAACTGGAAAAGGACAGTAAGCCATTATGCAACCTGTTAAGCTGAATGCCTAATGCATAATCAGTAGGGTCACACACAATAAGAAAATTTAGCTATCACTGTGTCCTGACACCCAAGATCATCTCATTTCAGCAACACAAAACAGACAACAGGTCAAACATATGCTCCATAAACCTTATGAAAGTAACTTTACACTGAACTTCCCTTAAAATTACAGATGACTGTCTCAGTTCAAAAGGTGACATACTCACATCACAGACCATGCAATTGATACAATAACACTAGTACACTATACGCAAATGTTGCCAGGATTATTAATGAGCTTATAATGGTAATTTCCAGAAAAGCTTTGCTGAGTAGATGGCAAGAAATGAAAAGGGTGCTTTAAAACCTAGCCATTTATGTACGTGCCAATTGGTTTACGACTCCTGAATGGACCCCCGCCCCAGGAGACGATGCAGTTATTAAGGTCTTCCCTTGTAGCACTGGGCACTGAAATACCAGTGGTTCTTTAAGTTGCCTGCGTTAATGACCAGCAAATAGTTATCCTTTGAAAATCTGAGAAATTGATCTCATGATAACAATTTCACAGTCACATTTATAAAAAAAATAATAAATTAAAAAAAATGGACTGACTTATTACTTTATTAAAATGTCAAGTCTTCTCACCTTTCTTTGGCAGACCTCTGCCCTTGCCCAATCGGGACTTTCTGTCCAGCAGCTTGCTCTTGGGGCTGGTGGGTGCCGCAGAGGTCCCCTTAACCACATCCCCATTATCGCTGAGAGAGTCCCCCTCCCAGAGTCCCTGGAGGAGTTTTTTCTCAGCCTCCGCTTGGCCTTCGCCTTGAGGC